CACAGTAGTAAATAATTTATCCTCACTGAAGAATGGAAGAATAATCTGTCAGATAGCACTAACAGAAGATTTAAAACGGATGCCAGGTCACTTTTGTTCTGGCCTTGGCCAGCTTCTTGTAGAAATTCTGCCTCAGGAATTAGCAAAAGCAACTCTCTAAGACTTCTACCTGATCTTTTTACAGCTTTCAAAATTCAGTAGTTCTGCAGTGTGAGATTCAGTGGTAAATGTACATGTCTACATCTGAGCTGGTCACCCTAAGCTCTCGATATAAGCAACAGAGAGAAATACATGCTTCAAAAGTATAATTCACCTTACTCTAAAGCAGTTGTCTGAATCCTAAAAGATGGGCCTCAACTAGTCAAATAACTTAATTATTTCCCTTGATTATATGGAGTGATTAACCTAGTCCTCTGGATCAGTTAAACTTAGGTGAAAATCCCTTTGCTCTTTTTGCAGAGCAGGACAAAGGTTTATGGAAGCAAAGGATTCCTACTATATTCACCACTCATCACTCCTCCAGTAAAAATATTCTGTTCCAGTTTTCAGTATACAATCTGCAAAGCAGATTAATGATTGATCTTCCCAGTATCAGCTGAGATGTCTGGCAATTTCTCTGGAGGTCACAGCCCACCTGAGAATGAAAGCCTTTGCCTTTTTGTGTTCCAGATAGTCTTGAAGTGGACTAGCCTTCTGGTGAATTCTAAGTAGAACAACCCACTGTATCTCAAAAGCATCTGATTAAATGCATATAAGATAATCTTATCTCCTGCCTGAAAAAGTCATATCAGAGCATGTCTTTACTGACAGAAATTTATCAAGGTAAGCTTTCCATAACACAGTGATCCACAACTCACAAGACAGAAACACAAATACAAATTTTCTACTTATCTAGGTCAGCCTGTACCATCTCTGTATAATAATCTAGATGTCATCTGACTACCAATGAGTCTTGAACTAGAACTCCATCATCCAATTCAGAGAAATAAATCTAGTAAAGTCGTCGATGTAATATTTTGTTGTAACTATTAAACAAAGCTATTCCTCTCATAAAAAAGATTTTGAAGTCTCTCTTTCTAGTCTCGAACTCTTTTTTGATGATACAGTTGTCTTTGGACAATTTTCATTTGTATGAAGAGGAGAGAACTGTTACTTGATCTTTCTGGCCCTGACAAAAAGATCAGGAAACAGGAATGACAATATCAAATTCTGGTCCATTCTAGGGTCCAAACTTATTTGAAGATTCAACCCTGGCATCAATCTTTTGATGGAAACTGCCTTACTTCACAGTTAACCATGAGCTTTCTGACTCTTAGATCAGTCACAAGGACAATTTTTAATTTTTACTGCAACCTAATTTTAAGCCATTAATGATTTGGTGAGTCAAGACCAAGAACAGAAAGTATCAGGGAAAGCACACTGAAGGCCAGTGGAGTCAGTCAGCCTCCCCAGCAGCTTACAAAAGCCTAATTCCGTGGCAAGAAAGCAGTCACATTCTGCATTAATGGGAACCTTTACTTTTTTTTCCATTGCCAGCTTCTTACATGACATTCAATTCTTATTTCAAGTTAAAGCCTTAGAGAAGGAAACAAAACAAAATCAATGAAAAAAAAAAGCAATATCCTGTTTTAATATAATTAAAGTACTGTCTTTCTTAAGTACTGTTTTTTCTTCCTCTTCTTTCATACCACCCTGGGACAAAAAACTACTACAAAGAAAAAAAAAATCTGAACATTTTTCCACAGAAAAATGAGATTATAACATAAGTACACTTAATGGATTTCTTCTCATTTGCTGAAGTTTGGAACTGAGTACATTACTGTATGGACGTAGGATAACTGCAAACTTTTTTTCTTTTTTTCCTTCAACTATGAAGAAACTAGCTTCTCTTAATTTTAAAGAATATTGCGAAGGATACAATTGTAGGGAACAGCTTTAAAGAATGTTGCTTGTTTCCATAAACGTGATACTACCCATACATTCCTTTATTTAGGAGGTAATAAATTCGTTATCTACGTAACATGCAGCAAAAAAAAAAAAAAGGTGTTTAATATTAAGCAGGAGTGTGGCTACAAGAATTTGTCTTGACAAAATAATGACTGATTTATTAAATTAACCTCTATATTAAAAAAAAGTACAGCTATTTAGGTGGCAAAGGAAAGATATCCTGTCCTTTTATAAAGAAGTGCAATAATCTACTTTGGGAGGGAAACAATACTATAAAAAACTACACAGCATATTATAAGCCATTTCTCACACTTTTTAAAATAAAAACACCTCTTGTCTGCTGAGATATTGTCCTGGTCTCAGCTGGGATAGAGTTAATTTTCTATGTAGTAGCTGGTATAGTGTTATGTTTTGGATTTCGTACGAGAGTCGTGTTGATAACACACTGATGGTTTTAGTTGATGCTAAGTAGTGTTTATACTGAGTCAAGGATTCTTCAGCTTCTCATGCCCAGCCAGCAAGAAGGCTGGAGGGGCAAAAGAAGTTGGGAGGGGACACAGCCAGGACAGCTGACCAAAGCTGGCCAAAGGGATATTCCATACCATATGATATCATGCCAGTATATAAACTGCTAGTTTGTTACCATTTGTTTGCTCTTAAATGATTGTATCAGGTTTACCGAAAGTCATTAGTAAATTACATACTATAGACATTTTGTAACCACTGAGCTACCACCAAAAGCTAAAATTCTGAGAATAATTAAATACACAGAACATGAATGTAGTCTTTTAAAAGATGTACTTAAAAATCTCCATAGAAATATACTAGAATACATATGATATTTCAGTTTAATCTTCTAAGAGGCTTTGATAACTTTGAAAAACAGCACATTACAAAACACTAAGGAAACACTCCACTTGGTGTAGGTATTGCAGAGATGAAATTCTCACTTCATTGTGGATTTCCTTGCTGGTTTCCTTTTCCATAACCTCCAGACTCAGGGTTTGGATATAGAAAGAAAAATCATATAGGAGTGTGGCCAAAGTGGGTTTTTTTTGTTTGTTTTGTTTGTTTGTGTTTTTTGGTATTTTTTTAATAGCAGTAAGAGGCTGACCTGATCAAATCAGAGCTGTAAAATGCACTTTGTTTGGTATTTTTTTAATAGCAGTAAGAGGTTGACCTGATCAATTCAGAGCTGTAAAATGCACTTCGAAGCCCCAAGGCCGTCCTAAAATAGCAGTGACTTTCTGTGTAATCACAGAGAGAAGACTTCTGTCCCTGGCATGATGTGTGTACTGCAGAAATCCACTGGGGCTAAAGGCTGAAACAGCTCACTGGGAAGGCAAGTCAGCCTACAACAACTGTTGTAGCGTAATGACTACAGCAGCACTGCATAGCTGGTATGGAACTCAGGTGACAATAAGTAAATGTATTTATTTCTGTGCTTGCTCCCTGAGGCCTGTTACTTCCTCCCTCCTCACAGAGTGACTGCGCTGCCCTTAAATCAGGGCACAGGACCTCCGTCAACACAGCATTCGCTTGGGAAGGATCTATTCCTTATGTTGGTCCAGCTCATGCAGAATGTGACCTTGTCATGGACCAATCTTAGTTTCCTTCTCTTTAAGCAGGGAATATTTAAATCTAGCACAATTAGTACAAAGCATGATCAAAGGTAACTGTCCCATATCAATCACGTGTACTCACAGAGCAGTAACATGGCACTTCCCACTGCCTCACCTAACTCGCTTTCCTCTCACTGTCAGGCTGCTCTCTCCCACAAACAGTGACCATGATAACAGAGTCTCTGCTACAGAAACAAAGGAACAAACTGAACTTTGCAAATCCTAGGATAACATTTTGAGATGGTCCTGCCCGATCCTGTCATCAAACTAATCTTTAGTCTATCATCTTTGAACCTGGCCTTAACTGAAACAAAAGAAGTGGGGTATGAGTTTTCTTTAAACAGATTGCTGTCCCTGATGATCAGATACATTACATGACCAGATACATTACAATCTTTGTACTGACAGTCAGAGCACTTCTCAGCTTTATCATGTTACCATCGTACATGTATCACAGGAAAGGGAAGTGAGCCTGCTGGCTGAGTGTTATATGGCATGGTTTTAGGACACTGCTAAAGTTATTAACTCTCAATTCAAATTTGGTAATTTTCTATATTTTCATACGAAAATTTTTAGGGAAGGTTTGCAGGTACATTCTTAGGCTAAGAGGAGAAAAGCAGCATGTTTTGCAAAAAACTAGCTGGTCAGATTCCTGTCTGATTGATAGAATGTTTGGATGCTGCAAGGGTGATCTTGCAATATTAATTGTTAAGGTGCCTAGAGCCCTTGTATATGCATCTTTTTATTATTTAAATATTGAAATAAATAAATCATCTCACTTAAGCAACCAGCGATTCAGATTTGTTAGAATTCTTTCATTAATTTTGATGATGCTGAACCCCAGATCTGTTAAAATACTCTAGAAGAATAAGTCAGTCGTAGTCTCTTGTAAATGTAAAATGTAAATACCTCAGCTGTAAGAAATCAAAAGTTATCTAGATTTCTTTCATTCATTGGGTTTTTAAATAACTAATGGTGTATTAAATGCTTCACTACAGAAGTCAGCACTTGGGCTTGACTAAATAATAACTCAAAATTACAAGAACATATATGTCGATATACTAAGCTTCCACCCCAGAGGAGATATTTCACAGA